AAGAAAAGAAAGAAGCCGTCCTGGAAGTCCCCCTGTGATCTTTTGTCTCAACTGCTAACCACATATTAATGATTACCCAGGACATGTTATATAGAAAGACATGGGGAAAGCAGGATCCTTAGCAAAATTTGGTTTCCAGAAGGGATAGAGACTATTCAGAGACAATGGTATGGAAAAGGAGGATTTTGCTGGTAACAGAAGGCATAAGAGTTCCTGAGAGTATAATGGAAGGATTTCAAAAGTATGGTCATAAGGGTGAGTATTTCAGAGAATGATCTGGGAGTTTTGAGCCTAGGGAAATGACAGATAAGCACAGGAATAAAGGCACTATGGAATTAGTTCTGAAGAGCCTGAGGGAAGATGGTACAGGTGAAGCTGTGAAAGTTGGTAGAGGGAGGAGTGAGTAGTAGCTGAGAACAAGAACTAAGAAAAACAGAGTGTTCCTCTGTAGGAAGCCATAGTGTTTGGTGGTACACAGACCACCGAATGGTGGAAGACAGCCCCAGTGAGAGGGCAAGGAACTCATGCTCTCTCATCAAAGAAGCTGGATGAGCAATGCCCAGATCTTCAGCCAAGATCTCTTTTGATTATCACTCACAAGTCCTTAAATTTGGCAAAAGGTTGCAAGGTTTCAGTTTCATAGTTCTGGTTATTAGAGTTAAAAGACTCATATGATTTGCAGTCTCTGGTTATTACTTTCTATTATGACCCTATTTTTCTTTAGCAATATCTACTAAACTACATTCATCTCAGTTTCAGTCCAGACACTTAAAGGCTTTACTGAGTAATTTCAAGAGCTCAAAGCCAAGGAATCAATTATTGGATATTATAATAGTTTGACTCGATTCACCAGTATGTTTTAAGATCCATATCTTTGCATTATTTGTGATGAGCCTATTTTATTACATTAACTTTTCTGGTAACAGAAAAGTACAGTTCAAACACCCTTCTCCTAACAAAGATATAAAAATAAATATAGCCTTAGCCAGTTTGGCTCAGTGGATAGAGCGTCAGCCTACAGACTGAAAGGTCCCTCATTTGATTCCAGTCAAGGGAGCATAGCTAGGTTGCAGGCTCGATCCCTGGCCTTGCTTGGAGCTCCTGTGAGAGGCAACCAATCGATGTGTATCTCTCACATAGATGTTTCTCTCTGTGTGTCTCTCCCCCTCCCTTCCACTCTCTAAAAATTCAATGGGAAAATTTCCTTGGCTGAGGATTAACAACATCAAAAAGAATAAATATGATCAAAGTACCCATCACAGAGGTAACCAGATGTGGTATATGTATATGTTACCTTCACTGTCCACAGTGTCCAGAATAAACATGATTCCTGGGTGTCTCTGAGGGTGTTTACACATGAAATGAGATTTGAATCAGTGGATTCAGCAAAGAAGATTGACTTTCCCAATGTGGGGGGCTGTCACCCAGTACATTGAGGGACTGAGTAGAACAAGAGGTGAAGGAAGGAGGAATTTGCTCCCCCTTCTTCTCCCCTCTCACTGATTGAGCTTACACATCTCTCATCTTCTCCAGGCCTTGGACTGGGATTTGCACCATCAGATTCCCTAGTTCTCAGCCAAGAGCCTCAGACTGAATCGCTGGTTTCCTGAGGCTCCAGCATGCAGATAGTAGATTGTAAGACTTCTCAGTCTCCATAATCACATGAGCCAGTTACTGCAATCTCAATTCCTCCTCCCCCACTCTCTCTCTCTCTCTCTCTCTCTCTCTCTCTCTCTCTCTCTCTCTCTATATATATATATATATATATATATATATATATATATATGCGTGTGTGTGTGTGTGTGTGCGTGCGTGTGTGTGTATAATTCTGTTCTATTTCTCTGACTTATACTTCAGATAAAGTATAAAATGTCAATGTCCACCATCCATATGAGAATATTTTGTAATATAAAATTTTCTTTTTTTGGTTTTAGGAAGATGAGTTTAGTTAAATAAGTATAGTATATTTAACTAGGTAAAGTTCAATATATTACTCAATTTGAATGAATGTAATGTATTATTTTTTTAGATAGTTTATTTTGTCATAAAATTCACTACTTCATTCAGTGAGATTTTTAAAAATTCTGGCCATTGTTTTCCTATAGAATCTACTACCCCTTGGCCTAGAATGATCTCCACACACTATACCACTTAGAAAGGTCCTCTCAGCAGTTAAAATGGATTCTAGCCATCTCCTCTTTAAAGGTTTCCTTGATCCTTCTCCCTCTACCACTACCATTCTGAAATTAATTATTCCATCCTCTGAATAATTCCCTGAATATATGCTGCTTTATACTTTATTTCTATATTTCTTAGTGATTATTCATGGGGAAATATTATATTATTTTCATTTGTACATCCAGAGCATCTAGTATAGTACCTGTTCTCAATACATAGTCAATAAATTTTATTAAATTGAAATATATGTGGCTTATGGACTAACTTTCTACTTCCTTAATTTTGACCAATTTTAGATTATATTTACTTAAATGCATATTGTTAAATAAGATGGAGTGCAAGAAACTGGTGAGTAAGATATGAAAACTTCCTTAAAGCACTTTAAGTCTAGGATAAAACAAAAGGAACAATGCCACCTCGGAAGTATTCCCTTTCGTGAAGGGTTTTTATTAATTGTCTGAGGTGTGAGGAATTTCTGGATGGTCCATTTTCATCCTATAATCCTCCTCTACCTACTTCTCCCAGATCCCATTTCTCCTAGTACTTTTCCCATCAACTTGAGAATTTCAGAAATATAGAAATAGCCCTCTAACTACACATTTAAGAAAATGTTCTATATAAAATTATTTCTCAAACTTGAGTATAATATAGGCCTCCCATAAAATGAAAAAAAAATTGTTATGGATTCCTAGTGTTTACTTATTTTAATTACAATGTTACCAAAATATGTATAAAAATAAGACTGATTATAAACTCCCTAGCTCTTCAAAACTAAAAATCAAAATACATACATAGATTAGATACATAAATTAGGACTTATTTAATTAAAATTAAAATATTAATTAAATGTGATAGGTGATGTCATTTTTTTGAAATTTAAATTCCAGTGTTGAATTTAATCATACAAATATGCATTTGCTTGGTTTATGTTTTAATTTTTGTATACTGATTTTGTTCTTTTGAATTGCCATAGTCTATTCCAGTGTTTTTCAACCATTTTTGGGCAAAGGCACACTTGTTTCATGAAAAAAATCACGAGGCACACCACCATTAGAAAATGTTAAAAAATTTAACTCTGTGCCTATATTGACTATATATAAAATAATTCTCTTGAATAGGAATCAAATAAACACAAAGAAAGTATTTTATAATTACTTTATTATGAAATATTAAGTAAACAAAAAAGTGAAAAATTATAAAATTCTTGTCTTGTCTGCACCTACGGCACACCAGGCAACATCTCTGCCGCGGAACAACGGTTGAAAAACGCTGGTCTATTCTTTGGATATTTTTCACTGTCACTATCATTTTAATTTAATTTTATTAGAAATATTCTTGTAAATAATAAAACACTATTTTAGTGGGCCAATACATTAGTCATTATAAAATACAATACTGAAAAATTTAAAGGACCATTTAATAAAAATACCTTCATTTTATAACAGTACACACTGCCAATGAATTTGTACAAGGTGGTGGGTACAAACAAATGCCCTACCCAGTAGATTTGCTTACAACTTGAACTGAGTGTTCTCATACCATTTTAGTTTGAGTTCAACCTGATGCTATAATTTTCAGTCATCACATAACACCAAGGTGATGATAAACCCACAAGCATGCCAGGGCACATAAATCAGCATTTCTCAAAATGATCCACTTATTCTTGTGTTTACTCTCTCAGATTTAATGAGACTTCATGGCTGAGTCTTGAAAGTGACTAGGAAACCTGCATCCATTCAGACATTTTCTTACTCTTTTTCATTGTTGGATATAGCACACCTATGCTTAAGAAGCCACTTTATTTCTTATCTTGAGAAAAGGATAGGTGGCATAGTAGCATTTGCCATCTGGTTTTTATATTCTTGAAAAATCCTTGAGCTTTGTTCTTGAATGCTGTTATGTTAATTACAAACATTTTTATCCTTTAGGATTTGCTTTCATTATTTGTTAGGCAAGAGTAGAGAAGCTTTTAGTCTATTTTAATTTTGACCCATACTTGAGACAAATTGAATAGTTTCTTCATGCACATTTGCTAATGAGTACTTTGCAAAACACGTAAGGTGTACCCTAGCATGTCTTCCAATTTCTCTTCCTGAGCAGCTCTTTCCTTTAGAGTACAGTTGACCCTTGACTGATGTAGGGGTTGGGGTGCTGAATTGCCCTACAGTGGAAAATCCACATCCACACATAACAAAGGTGGCTTCCCAACTGTGGATGGAAAATATTACTGAACTCTAGCTGTCTTGGTGCCCCAAATCCCATCTATGACTTCTTAATTCAGACAGTACACTGAGCTCTGCCTGAGTTCTCTTTCCCTCAGCCATGTCCTACAAACTCTCTCAAGGTAGTTGTAGGGGCTTACTTTGTTTGCTGTCGCTCAATAATCATTGCTCTTCATTACCTGATGGCTATGGCCCTGAAATCATTGTTTAAAATTATGTGCCTTGGCCCGTGTGTTTAATGGTTAGAGTGGCAGCCCATGCACGGAGGGGTCACAGGTTACATTCATGGCCAAGAGCATGCATGTACCATCACCACCCTGGTGCAAGTGAATGTGGGAGACAACCAATGTGTCTCTCTCACATTGATGTTTCTTCTCTCTCTCTCTCTCTCTCTCTCTCTCTCTCTCTCTCTCTCTCTCTCTCTCTCTCTTTCTGTGTGTGTGTGTGTGTGTGTGTGTGTGTGTATGTGTTTCTCTCTTTTCCTCCCCTCCACTCTCTCTAAAAATATCGGGTGAGGATTAACAAAAAAATATGCTGTCCATTTTATTGATTGTTTTAGGAAGGAGAATAAATCTAGTTCCTTTATTCCACCCCCTTTAGAAACCAGTGTCCAAACTCTACATCTTGCAGCTACTCCATTCTCCACCCACAGCTTGCAAGATCTCCTTTTCATCAAGCCATGGAAAGAGAAAAAGCATGAAGGATCACATGTAGGTAACTTTTATCAGTCAAATCTGAAAGCGGTTGCTCATGTCTGTGACATTGCCCTAGACATCAGTCACATGGCCACATCTGACCAAAAGGCCAGTGGGAAATAATAGTCAAACTGTAATCCCAGGAAAAGTTGGAAGTAGTTTTTGGTGAATGGTTGGCAAGTTTCTGTGATATGGTACCTTTATGGGCACCAAATACCACTTTTACTCTTCCTCGTAATAGAAGACACTTATTCCATGACAAAGGAGAAAAAATTGTTTACTCTCCCCTGCTGACCAATGAAAAGTATTGGAATAAGAATGAGATCACTGTAATTAAAGCTTCCATTTAGATAAAATAAAGAATGAAATTCTTCCCTGGCTGTTGTGGCTCAGTTGGCTGGGTGTCCTCTCGTGCAATAAATGTTTTGGGTTCGATTCCAAGTCAGGACACATACCTGAGTTGTGGGCTCAATCCCCGGTAGGGGGCATGGAGGAAACAACACATCACATTTCTCTTTCTCTCGCCCTCTCCCATCTTCTTTCTCTAAAAAAATTAAAAACAAACAAACAAACAAAAGAAAACAACAAGAAGAAAAGAGTGGATTCTGCTATAGCCTGTGGTCCATAGCAGTGATGACCATGTTGTCAGGCAGGCATTGTGAGGTCCCTTGACACTGACAAATGCAGGAGATTCCTTGATTAGATTTTATTCTACTTTCTGTAAAGGACTTTTTCATCTTTTTTTTTTTTTTTTTTTTTTTTTTTTTTTGCAGGTTCTAATTCCTCTCCCAGGAGATACTTCCTGTTAATTATCCTCCATTACCTTTCATGGTGATAGCTGAAATTAGTTTGGAGAGCAGTCCTTCCTTAAGGGTCACTGAAATTTCATACTTCTTTTCCATTCATGAAATTTTGGGACTCATATGTGTTTGAGGCATGAATGGTCAAGGCATTTTTAGTATTGGTTCAGGTTTTGTTAGCAATCCATTTTCCTCGAAAATTAGTAAAACTATCTGCTTCTAGGCAATTTCAGCTGACGGTTAATACAACAATAATGTTTTCTGGATGTAAGTCTGAAATCTGGTTCATTTTATGTTTGCTTTCTCATCACATACCTCTCATTCTAAAACCATCAGAAGGCATCTGTGGGAATGCCACACGTTTTTAGGCTGCTTTTTTCACTCTTACCTTTTACTGTTTGAGGTTCAGAATAAGTCAACTTTTTCAATGCTTCGAGGCCCTGAATCCTGGAATCTATATTACCATTTATTTCTGGTTGAAAATGATTACCTAAGCTGATCTCTTTCTTATAGTAAGTTGTCAATATAGTTGCAATATGTAACTAAGATTCTGGTTCTTTTCAACCACTTGCCATGCGCTGTAGCCTCATAATTACCTTTCAAATTACTGAAGCATTTGTTTTATCAAATATTTTTCAATATGGATCACCATCTTTTCAGCACATTTTATCTATAAGTAAATAACCAAACCATCTTTATAAAGTCTAGATTGTTCTTGGGGCATCATTCTGCTTCTGCTATCTGTATTTTAAACTAAGGCAATGAAGTAATGCAGTAGCTCAAATATCGATACTATAATTTCTTTTCCTGGGTGCTTTTCATGGGCAGGTGGCTCTCCTTCAACTGATGCCAACCCAGGCTTTCCATCTTGTACACATGGCTCCTAAGACTGAGATGTTTTTCTCTATCCGCAAGTGGAAGGAGAAAGCATGGGAATCCTGCATGGGCTACACATGGAAATAGAAACATCAGTTTTGCCCTCTTCTTGGCTAGAAGCTGGTCACATGGCCACACCTGATTGTGAGGAACACTAGCGAATGCATATAGTCTGGTTGTATTAACAGAATGAGCTGAAAACTTGGCTGCATAGCTAACGAGTTTCTTCACAGAGGCCAATACTGGGGAAGGTGGAGTAGAAAGACTGGAGAAATTGAATCCTTCTAGGGACCCTTGAGCTACTCAGTCAAGTTTCACCATGTAACTAGGCTTTTTAACCATGTGAGCTAACTTTTATTGTTGAAAGCTATTGATATTTTAGTTGGGTTCTCTGCTACTTGTTATGCCAAACTATTATAATTAATATAGTTGTCCAGTGAATTTTCCCATTAACAGCAACAAACCAAACATCCCTTGATGGTGTCCTGTTATTCCAGTTGTGTAAAGCCCAGTCTGAATGCTTAATGCTTGAGTTCCCAATAAAGCATCTCAGGTATCAGGCCTGTATCTTGGGAAATTCAGCTCAGCCCAGGTGATGAGGCTTCAAAATACCTGTGATGGGAGTTTGGGGGCAGGCTAATTCCAGGTCTGAGGGAGCCTTTGGGACACATGCTTATTTGGGATTTAATCTTGTAATAGGAATGTGGTCTGTGAGGCTCCACCAAGCCCTCATAATCTATGATCACACCTTTGAGCTTCCCTAGAGTAGAAGAAAATACACAGATTAGTCACTGGTTTAAACCAACTTTTTGTGTGTGTGTGTGTGTGTGTGTGTGTGTGTGTGTGTGTGTGTGTGTGTGTGTTTTACAGCTTAGAGATCATCTGAGTCCAAATCACAGTTCTTGGTGATAGCTAATCTGAATTTATATCTTAAACTCAATTCAAGCAAGCTTACTTTTTAAGCAAAAGAGAGCTGAGCCTCATTCTCATCTTTTGGTGTTTCCCTCCTTTGGTGTCCTCTATAAGACAAACACTCAATTTTCCCATTTCTTCTGCTTTTGGGAATCATTCATTGAGTGTCTATTGGGTATCAGATATGCTGCCGTGTGCTAGAAAACAGCCAGATTGAGCAGTTTCCATAAGTCAGGCAGGAGAAAAGCTCATAGAACATTCAGTCAAGTTCTAGAATATTAGTGTGACATGCGGAAAAAATATAGGCTTTGAAGTTAGATGCTGCAGTATACCTTGTTTTATTCTGCTTCACAGATGTTATGTGTTTTACAAATTGAAGGCAAGACTCTCCACCAGCAAACATATCAACTCACTGTATTCTTACAGATTGTGTTAATTTTGGAATTAAGCTGTTCTTCTCTGAGCTTCAATTATTGTATTTTATTGCAAAAATGTACATAATACCACTATTTCAAGGTTAGACTAATAGCTAAATAATACAATAGTAGTGAAAATTCTTGGCCTAGAGTAGGAATAGTACTCCATCTTTTCCTGTTTCTTTTCTTCTTTCTCATCTTCACTTTATGTATTTTACCTTCTCATTTTTCCTCTCTTATTTGTTTTCCTTCCTACTTTCCCAATCTTATAATTTCCTAATTTCATTTTTTTAGGTAAACATGTTAATAGCTAAATTCCCATCCAAGATTCCAAGATTACATTGAAATGTCATCCTTACACCAACACTCTAGATTATATGCCCTTTGAGGTATCTAATGAAGAATATAAATAAAAATATTCTTTATGAGATCTGTACTTGTTTTCTTTCCTAGACTGATATGGACAGTTCCTTCTTCTGACTCTAAAAGTAACACATCTCTGTCCAATTGGGATGATGTCCATTGCTACTTCCTAGACATATTTTACAGGTGTTACTGATAAAGAGCAATTAGACTTCCAAAATAATAATTGCAGAGGACCCAAAACTAAAATAATGGCAGGGGAAGATATTTTAAATGAAAGATAGAAAAACTTAGTAATGTTTTTAAAGCTATTTATTTAGCTGACCATACTTGTTAAAAATTGCTATGTGTATTCATTTCATTTTAACAAATAATTATCATAGGTAAAAAATGAAAATAAATGGGTTTGTTTGATTCCATTTGCTGTATATTTATCTTGAAATAGAGCACTCATTTTAGTGCTCTAGAAATTGAGTCTGTAGCCATATATTATATACTAGAGGCCCAGTGCCTGAGATTCGTGCACTGTGGGGTGGCAGGCTGGGTTGGGAGAGGGGGGATGTTCCTAAACCCAGGCTGCACCCTCTTGCAGTCTGGGACTCCTTGAGGGATATGCACTTGCCAGCTTAGGCCCGATCCCCTTAGGGCAGTCAGACATCCCTCTCTCAGTCCAGGGCTTGTACAGTCCAGTATCCCTCACTCTTTACCTCCTGCCTGCAGTGGAGGCAGGAGAGGCTCCTGCCTGCCACCACCACTGCGCTTGCCAGGATTGCTGTTCTTTAGTGCTGCCTCGGAGGCAGGAAAGGCTCCTGCCACCACTGCTACGCTTGCCATCTGTGAGCCCGGCTTCTGGTTGAGTGGTGCTCTACCTGTGGGAGTGTTCTGACCATCAGGAGGCAGCTCCTGTGTTGAGCGTCTGCCCCTCGTGGCCAGTGCACATCATAGTGACTGGTCATTCCATCATTTAGTCAATTTGCATATTAGGCTTTTATTATATAGGATAGCATTTTATAAAGATTATTTTTGCAGAATTTCCTTGTTGAATATCACCCCAAATTAAATCTTTAATAAAAAAAAAACTTTATTAGGATGTCTGAAATACTTTGATGTACTCAAGATAGAAAATTCACATGTGCTAAAAATTATGTTCAAATACCACACTGATATTTTATGATATTTTCACTTTGGATGATCTCCCAAAATATCTGAAAGATAATTTATATAACTCCAGAAAAATATTTTTATTACTTCCTATTTCATTTTGGGGAAGAAGACATATGATTTATTCTTTTGAAAAAGGACATGATATTTTCTTAACATGGCATTTCCAATAATCTAACACTTCATAATGTATTATAAATAAGGAAAAACGACTCATAAGACTCTAGCAACATCACTATCTGGTTTCAAAGGTGGTAATTTGCTGAGCTTTATCTTAAAAACACATTTAAGAGACAATGGACTATGACTAGAAAATATACATTTTATCATGTTTTAAACAAAGGAAATCCAAACTGTGGAAACAATTAGAATTAAAAAACCAAGGCACATATATAGTGTTGTTATAATTATACATATCTACCTATACACATTCCAAAGAAATAAACATAGAAATAAATAATAGAATAAGATGCAATGAAATGTTTGTAGTGAAAGACTTTCTAGCCCTGACTGGTTTGGCTCAGTGGATAGAGCATCAGCCTGTGGACTGAAGGGTCCTGGATTCTATTCCAGTCAGGGGCATGCACCTTGGTTGTGGGCATATCTCTGTAGGAGGTATATAGGAGGCAGCTGATTGGTATTTCTCTCATCAATGTTTCTTACTCTCTATCCCTCTTCCTTTCTCTCTGTAAAAAATCAATAAAAAGAAAAAGAAAATACTTTTGGGGGGCTA